AAACATAGATTTTCTGTTACATTGCGCAGACCTCATTAGTTTTACACTCAAATCTGTTCATATTAATTTTCTGATTTGCATAATTAGTTTTCAGCTAAGTAATTTCGAATTATATTTAATGTGTCTCCAATAGTCTCAGCACATGGGAGTTCTTTCTAAGCTTTCTTTGATTTCATTTTATCAGATTACTTGTAATTTATAACATTCCAAAAAAAATGATGAGGAAGATTTGTTTTCAAGTGAGACTCATACCTGTAATTACCTCACTTAAGTATAGAGCAATGAGTTATATGTGAAACTTTCAAGAACCTTTAATGCCATGTTTTATGAGATTGGTTAGTCTATGGACTTGTAAAATTAGATGAATTGATTGTTCATATTGATAATGGTGACAATATAAGAGGTTTGGAGAAAATACAACATTATTATTACCAGATGATAACAATGTAAATCGATTCTATACTATTTTTAGGATTTAGCAAGTCGAGCAAGAGAAGGCAAACTACAGCTCGATGAGTTTCAAGGTGGTTCGTTTACGTAAGTCTGTACTTTATATTGCAGAATTATACTCAAGTGATGGAGATAAAGCATACATATAGTATGGGTCCCATGTGATGTATACAGCATTTAATATGGGTCCCATGTGATATATACAACATTTAATATGGGTCCCATGTGATATATACAACATTTAATATGGGTCCCATGTGATGTATACAGCATTTAATATGGATCGCATGTGATGTATACAGCATTTAATATGGGTCGCATGTGATGTATACAACATTTAATATGGGTCTCATGTGATGTATACAGCAATTTAATATGGGTCTCATGTGATGTATACAACGTTTAATATGGGTCCCATGTGATGTATACAGCATGTAATATGGGTCCCATGTGATGTATACAACATGTAATATGAATTCCATGTGATGTATACAACATGTACATTAATATGGGTCCCATGTGATGTATACAACATTTAATATGGGTCTCATGTGATGTATACAGCATTTAATATGGGTCGCATTTGATGTATACAACATTTAATATGGGTCGCATTTGATGTATACAACATTTAATATGGGTCCCATGTGATGTATACAGCATTTAATATGGGTCGCATTTGATGTATACAACATTTAATATGGGTCTCATGTGATGTATACAGCAATTTAATATGGGTCTCATGTGATGTATACAACATGTAATATGGATTCCATGTGATGTATACAACATGTAATATGGGTCCCATGTGATGTATACAACATGTGATATGGATTCCATGTGATGTATACAACATGTAATATGGGTCCCATGTGATGTATACAACATGTAATATGGATTCCATGTGATGTATACAACATGTAATATGGGTCTCATGTGATGTATACAACATTTAATATGGGTCCCATGTGATATATACAACATTTAATATGGGTCCCATGTGATGTATACAGCATTTAATATGGGTCCCATGTGATGTATACAGCATTTAATATGGGTCGCATGTGATGTATACAACATTTAATATGGGTCTCATGTGATGTATACAGCATGTAAAAAATATGGGTCTCGTGTGATGTATACAGCATGTAATATGGGTCTCATGTGATGTATACAACGTTTAATATGGGTCTCATGTGATGTATACAGCAATTTAATATGGGTCTCATGTGATGTATACAGCATGTAAAAAATATGGGTCTCGTGTGATGTATACA